GCTTTTCTATCAATTGGTTATGTTTTTTATGGTGGGGTCACACAAACCACAACCCACCACCCCCGCCGGTGGCGGTTGGGGTAATTCTGGGGGTTTAAGGTCCACACATCTTAAAGTTCCCAAGGTTGAGAAACACTGATCTAGAACCTCTTTTATCTGCTCCCCTTGTACAGAAGCAAATGAAATATTCCTCTCCCCAAAACGAAATGCCTTGGCATGCAATCCTTTCGAGGCAGCTGATTCGCTAAAGATTGTTCCCCTGAAAGTACAGACCACACAACAATTTAATTTCTGGGCAAAAACTCTAGCAATTCCCATTTTGTTTGAATCAGTGGCAAGGCGAACGCATTGCTATTTTTAAAGGGAATAAAAATGGAAGCTACCCTCTTTCTAGCAAATTGGGGAAATTACTTTAAAGTCCCCGGCCTCGGGACTTTTACAGGAGGAAACTGAGGGATGTCGTATCACCAGCATATGTTCAGTTTCACTTTTGGGTTCTGCAATATTAATGTTTCTCTCCAAAGGTAGAAGAAAACTGTTTTTTTACAAAAGCCTCATTTTCTTGTGCAAAATAGCACCATCTCCTGGCTTTAATTAAGGGATCCTTGGTTATGTTTTGTGAACAAATGCTTAAAAAAAAAAAAAAAAAACGAGAGAGAGAAAGTGTCCTTATCTTTAGGTACCCCTGATTATCTGACCACAAAATAGGAGTTGAAACAGGATGCTTCTAACATTCTCTTTTCAGCATCTTTGCTAGCAAAGCTATTTAACAAAAACCATCTTCTGGCTGGTAGCTCTCGATACAGGTAGTCCTCACTTAATGACTGTTGTTTAGCAACTGTTCAAAGTTACGACGGTGCTAAAAAAAGTGACATATGACCGGTGCCAGAAGTTATGACCATTGCAGTGCCCCCATGTTCACACGATCACATCCAGGTGCTTGGCAGCCAGCTCACACTTATGACGGTTGCAGCGTCCCAGGGTCACGTGATTGCCATCTGTGACCTTCCCTGCCGGCTTCCACCAAGCAAAGTCAATGGGGAACCATGTGATTCGCTTTACAACCGTATGGTTCATTAAAGACCACATGATTCGTTTAACAGCTGCGGCAAAATAAGTTGTAAAATCGGGTCCGGTCACATGATGAATCACTTTACGACCGCACCGCTTAGCAACCTAAATTCCGGTCCCAATTGTGGTTGTTAAGTGAGGACTACCTGTATACAAATCGGGCTGAGAAGAGGGTGAGGATTGGGAGAGGAGCGGGACCAAGGATTGAACATGATCCTGGAGATTATAAAGACTCTAGAAAGAGTTCTGGAACTGTACTTTATTGATGGAGGGTATAATAACTGGAATTCCTGGTGCGGTTTTGCTATTGTGATGGTTGTTTTAGCCTGGGGTGTCTGTGTTGCTCAAGGTTTTTAACTGTTTTTATTGCTTTGGGCTTTGTCTACTGCAGTGGGTGGCTATAACAAATTTCAACAAAATAATAACAGTAGCAAGAACAACAACTCCATTTCATTGTTACAGAGTAAAATAACAATTTTGAGAAGCTGATCAAGTTTCTCTCTTCCTCGCCTTATGCCAAAGAGAATCAAAGTGGGGCAATCTTGAGTTTCTTCCTCACCCTCTTCTGTTTTTCAGGGCTAGGCTGATATTTAAAAAACCGCTCTTGCATTTCTTCTTCAAATTATCTTTGCACTCCTCTACGGTACAGAAAGCTAAGTCCCCAAAGAACTAACCCAGGGCCGTATTGTGCAAATTCAGCTACGATTTCTTCTTTCGTTGACCTGGGTCAACATATTGTGTGAATGCAACTAGCCAGGAAAACAGGTGCTCCCTGCATCTCACGTATACAAGACCAAAACTGAAAGGCTGGAAGGAAAGTGAAATTCTGTCTCACCGTGGGAATTGGCGCCGATTCTCTGATCAGCAAACCAACTTGCATTCAGAATGGTGTTCCTATTTCTATTATTGATTACGGTTTATCATTTCTTACCAAGATTTCTACACTGCCCCATTCTAGAGTCTCTTGGAAGCGGTTGAGGAAAAAAGGCAAGGCATTAAAAACAAACCAAAAACCATTTAGATATAAGAGGCAAAAATATCCTACCATGAAAGTGACATTCATAGGGGCAGGCCCCAACTAACCCCCCCTCCCAATACCTTATCAAATAGCCATGTTTTAATCACCCTGAGAAAACCCAACAAGGAGGAACGGGTCCAGAGGTGTGAAGGTGAGCTATTCCATAAAAGCGGGGCCACCACAGAGAAGGTCCTATTATGGAGTCCCCTTGACAGTGAGATCCTCCACAGCTTCTTCTTTCTGATCTCACTGGATGGACAGAGTGATTTTGGAGCAGGGGGACATGAAGATATCCAGGGCCTAAACCACGTCAGTCTTTCAAGGTGATAACCAGTACTTCAAATTTTACTCAGAAGGTGATTGGTGGCCAACGTGGTCCCCCTAAAGAGAGGTGTTATATGGGCAAAATTTAGAGGCACCCATAACTATCCAGGTAGCCAGGCAATTGTACCAGCTTTAGCATCTGGATGGGTCCCCAAAAGTCAAGATGGCAGGTGGGATCAAACCCCTGACCCATTTTTATCTGAGTGTGACGTGCAATGCATAAGATGGAGCAGAGCTTCCACACACAGTTGCACCCCCTTCTTGAACTTTTGGACCCCCTCCTGCAGATGCCCTTCTTCAAAGGCAGGTAGGACAAGTTCAAGATGTTCCTTCAAAAGAAGAAATACAGTAAGGAGCTGAAAACAGGGACTGGAGAGGACTTCAGGACCTTAAATCTCGCTGGCTTGCCATGTTTTTCAGCTGTTCCTCCATCTGCGGGCTGATATCAGTCAAGTTCAACCTAGGAAGAGAACCGGAAGAGGAAATACAACATGCGATGAAGCTGATGGGCAGGTCTTTAGAGAAAGAGAAGAGGAGAAATAGAAAATAGCGGCTCGGAGGGTTGGAGGTTTAGGCCAGGGTTTCTCAACCTTGGCAATTTTAAGACGTGTGGACTTCAACTCCCAGAATTCCCCAGCCAGCCAGGCAAAGGTTGGCCTGCTACTTATATTTTTTTCTTCCTTTTTTGCTATATCTTTTCCAACTCAACAACTCAAAAAGCCTCCACAGCCCCATGGATTTCAGATCACTCCAGCAATACTATTTAAGTGCCCAAAGAATTATGACAGAAATACAGACAGAAAAGTGACAATCCTTCACCCCAGATGTTCTTGGCCACTCACTCACCCACATTTCTGAAACGCCAAGAATGGCTTCCTTCCTTGAAGACTGCTCCATTTTATTTTCTACACCGTACCTGATGTCTTCAGCAACACACAAGTCAAGACCCCATCAGCCCCACCTCCCAGGCCCAGGAATCTTGAGGACTAGCGCCTTGGGAGACCTTTATCGGTAGGTGGACTTTTTCCCACGCTCCTACCTGATCTCTTGAAGAGAATGACGCTCTTGGATGAGCTGACGAAGCTCGGGAACACATCTATCCGTGAGTGGATTGCTACTCAGATTTAGGCTGACCAGGCTGGTGTTTCCAGCGAGAGCAGAACGCAACAGCTTGCAAGAAGCCTCTGATAAGCCATTTTCCTGGATCCTGCAGAAGAGGAATCACAGATCAAGTTCTTGCTAAACTTTCGCAGCGTGAAAAGAGTCTTATTCAAGCCCAGGCCTCCTTGGAAAACTTCCCAGCAGGGCCTTTTCATCACTGGCACCACCATTTTGGATTTGTTTCTCCATAAAATCCCAACTAACATAGTTTTAGGACTGTGCAGCCCCAGGAAACACAAGCCTATGCTTCTCATTTTTTAAAATCCCCAAATAATTGTCCGCTTCCCTTTTTTCCCCACGTCACATCCCTGAACGTCCATTGACAAAATCGGGGCATTCTTTTTCACTCTATAATGCTGGAATGTATATATGATTTTCTTTATCAAATACTGTTTTCCTGGGAAGAAAGAATCTTTGTATTTAGGATCTCAGAATAAGGAAAAGTCAAGCTCCTTGTGACTGTGGAATGCAATACATAGAATGCAATTCATACATTTTGAAAATAAAGACAGGGCTTCATCAAATCAAAATCTTTTTAAGATCGTAGATCGGAAAAAGGGAAATTAAAATATAAATGACAGAACATAATTAAAATTAGTGGCTTCTTATTCACCTGGGGACTATCCCAAATGCACTGGAATGTGCGTGATATCATTAAAGCTTAATTAAATTCTAGTTTCATTAAAAGCTCTGAGTTCTATTAAGAGGAAAATCTCTGTTCTTCAGTCTTTTCTCCTGACTTCTATTTTTGTTAACATGGATACTTTATGCTCAGAAATTCTCTGGTTTTAAAGTTTTTTAAACCCTCTGTACTTTGTTATTTTAACATGAAAGTTTTTGATTCAGGAATCCTCTGATTTTAATGATTTTAGAGACATCTGATTTATTTTTAGTCTTTCAATTGTACTTCCTTTATGGAAGAGTTCAATGTCGTAATTATTTGCTCATTGTCTCACCTTTGTGGGCTTAATTTGCCAATTAATAGAAACATTTCGAAAAGACGAAGACCTGATAAATCACACACTCAAAAAAACAGTTTAGAATTTTTTTTAAAAAATGAACATTTAGAGACATCCAAGTTACTTAGAAACTAGAATCTGCTAGGTTTCAGGTGAGAGATGACTGAATGAAGGAAATAAGGAATGTGCTGAATAAATAAATAAAAAAATAAGCTTGTCTGAACATTCAGGGCAAACCCAAAGCAGTGTGATTTGATTGATACTTACATTAATTTCTGAATCTTGCAGTCTGGATTTTGGAACACCTTTAGTAACACTGACAAACCGTCATCTCTTAACTTGGTTTTGCTCAGATCAAGATTTAAGACGCTCTTATTTTCTGAGAGGGCTGAACAGAGAACTTCACAGCAGTTTCTCGTGAGCCTGTTCCATGCCAAGCTGAAGAAAATACGGAATTAATTACGTACAATAATATTTATGCACTTTATGAATCTCGCCTTCTTTTCTAAAAAGGAAGTTTCTAGTCCACATGTCCCATACAGCACAAATATATCTAAGCACCTGAGCATGGAATGTATTTAGTTTCGCCTGATGTTCCTAACCATGATTTATTATAATGCTTCCAGCAGCTTTCCAGATATGTTGCTATATTCTAGATCTGTGCCAATGGGATCATAGTAAGCCTGCACCATTTATCTGTCTGCTTTAGGGAAAAATGCTTGCTTTGATGTATTTTTCTAAGGTTATTTAAAGATAAACTCTTGGCAGAAATAGTGACTGGATTAGACCTATATTGGGTGGCCAAACTATCTTTTTAACTGCCTTTTAATTTTTAGAGAGTTCCGCACACTTAGAGCTGGACTGGGCTATTTTTTAAAGCAGAAAATCCTTTCTTTCTTTGGCACTTCTTGGAATGACATGTGACCGTGAACCACTATAGAATTGCTTGGCCATTCCAGGAAGTGCCAAGGACAAAGTGTCTAGCCCAAAAGGAGCCTAACAATCTAGCACACTGGATTTTCGAAAAGTTAAAGGAAGGTGGAAGAATGCTCTGAGTTCCCACATAACATTTTGAAAAGTACAATTCAACCCACACAGTGGATTTTTTATTCCCTACAGAGGAATGGACGCCAGCCAACCTTCAACCAGCTAGCACGCATTCTGCCATGGATCTATCCGGAGCAAAATATCCATCAGGCATTTTTTAAGGTTTCCAATTCCCAGACAGCATATCCAAGAATTAGATCCAATGTTTTTCAGTTCACCATTTAACCAAACAAACAAAAACGTAAAATACAGCAGGCCGAAGTCAATTTCATTTCTATTATTATTACCGTTGGTTGCCCAGTCAGCCAGATGTTTAGACTGGATCTGGCATTTTTATCCATCGATCGAGTCCTTCCCAAGGACTAGGGATAGGCAGATGTTGTTTGATGGTATTAAAGGTATTGTGGCAGGATATAAGCTGTTCCCAGTAAAGCTGTCTTTTGCAATTGACTGGTGGTGATTTTGTCAATATATTATTATTATTATTATTATTATTATTATTATTATTATTATTTACACAGTCAGCCAGATGTTCAGACTGGATTTAGCATTTTTATCCACCTATTGAGTCATTGTCATCATCATTGCTACTACTACTACTAGTATTAAATATGCTGTTACACCAACTCCGAACACACATTTCTGAGGAGCAGACCATTACATTACCTAAGGCTCTTGAGCTGACATTGAGGATGCTTTAATGCAGAAACGAGATGTTTCACCGCTGAGTCTTTCAGGTAATTATCTTGAAGGCTGCGAGGAAAAAGCAGAGAAATTATCCAGACAAGAAACGAAAAGGGGCCCATCGAGCTTTTTGAAGATGTAATATCTCAATTTCTGATTCCTTTCTGATAGGCCCTGGATATCTAGGAGAGAAATTCTCCGAGAAGGGATACCCTTGAAGTCAATTATTTTTTTTCCTTTGATCCCCCTGCACATTGCCGCAGTCATTTCACCGAAACTTCATCATAGCTTTTATATGTTGCTTTTCCATGAAAAAAGATCAATCAAACCAGTATCTGCAGGGAGGTCAAAAAAGTCAAGATGGCACCCATGGCCACATGATTAAAAGGGGTGGGACTTTGATTGTGATTGCCAGCTTGACTGCCTTGGCCCCCTCCCTGAAGACACACCTGGAAACCAGATTTACTATAAAAAGGAGGAAAAATAAATATATAAGATAGAGAGAAAAGGGGATTTTCATGTTCTCGGACCCAGATACATTCAGCTTAGGTATCTCTGAACAGGGCCTGGTGTTGATTTATTTGTTTTGGCCCAGAGAATCCCCAACTTGAAAACTGGCGTGAAATTTCGCAGAACTGTCCGTTTTTAAAACGAAAAATACACATTAGGCAGCTGAACCAATCAGGGCCTGCCTCTGAGGGTGCAAAGCCAATGACGGCGCTGGGGCAGTACTGAGCCCGCCCCCTCGCCATTCCAGAGCACCCATTGGCTGCGTGGCCCCAAAGGAAGCATCTGATTGGATCCGATGCTTCTTGTTTATATTTTAGGGAATCTTTTTCTATAAAACCACAATGTTCCTATTACATCTGCCTGGCTAGCTAATGCAAGTGAAGGAGGAAAAGATAGAAAAGTGGGGGGTTTTCCCCCACTAAAAGCGGGTGAGAGGTAGAAAATTCCTTTCCTGCATCCCCGCTAAAAGTGTGAATTCTCCGGATGACAATTTTAGACGATTTGGTTAAAACAATACAACTTCTACAGGTGTGCAAAAGTATTGAAATGTTTCATCCAGCAAACTTTTAATTTTAATTTCCTTTTTGTTCCCTTTGTTTTTCTTCTTCGTTTGTTTTCGTTCCCTTTTATGTTGTCCTTTCCTTTTCCCTTCCTTTCTCAAAAACGTGTTTATAAACTTAAAAAACGTTTCATTTGAAAAGGACATCTTTGGATTCAGGCTTAGATAATTGCCCTGGGTGCAGGGACCGGGCTGACCCCCGACTGGGGGATCGCCTACCCCCATTGAGTCTCCATTTCAACTTTGAAGGTTGAGTTTAAGTTTCTGAGTGCCAGAAATATATTGGAGCAAAATGGAGAACGTTAGTGGAGAGCATTTCCCTTTCATCTGGAAAAGTGGGAATGCTTAAGGCAAGTTGGAGAAGGCTGCTAGGTCTTCCTACGTTGACATCATCCCGCAATTACCTCAAGTCTTGTATGACGTGCAAGTGTGGGGACAACTTCTCCAATCCCTCGTTCTGGATGTAGCAGGAATTGAGGTTCAGAAGCTCCACGGTTTGACAGTGGCTTAGGACATAGGCGAGGATGGTGCAATCAACGGACATGAGGTAGAGATCAGAGAAGTCCACGCGAGCCGAATCGCCCATGAGTTGCTGCACAAGTTGGCCATTCTGTGCCTCGAAAAGGATATTGAAAAAATTCATGGCTTTTCTCTTCCCGCTCTGAGTCGTATCCCTCAAGAGCGCTTTCCAATTCTTCTTTTTGAGCCAACCGATGACTCTTTCACTAGCCACGGCTGAGAATTTCCCCAGAATTTCTTCCAAGGGTGCCCTGGTGTTCTGATGGGACAGTCCGGACAAGAAGCGAAAGAAAATGTCATAATCGCCAGTTCGGTTGCTTTGGGCTAACCCGATGGTGTTTGAAAAATGACTGTCTTTGAAATCCAAGTAATGAAAGAGGGCAGCAAAAAACTCTTGAATGGTGAGGTGAAGAAAGGAATAGGTGACCTGGAGAGAAGAGATGCCAGCTTGGACGTCTTCCACCACAAAGGCTGTGAAGAGCGAAGGCCACGTTCTTGGCGCCACTTGGAAGGCCTCCAGGTCATGTTCATCGAAGACAAGCATGCCAGTTCTCAAACAATGATCAGCCAAAAAGCCAAGCTGAACCAGCAACTCCTCAACGGAAGGACCTCCAGTGAAGTCTCCACTATGATGGTCCATCATGTGCTTCATGTAACTTACAAAGAGTTGAGTTACGGTTTGAGGGAGAGGATGGCGTTGACCGGAATTGGAGGTAAAATAAGCTTGAAGGGCCGTGCAAGTAATCCAGCAGTAGGAAGGGTTGTAGCAAAGGGTGTAAAGAACTTGGCTATCCCTCACGTGGGTCAAGGCCTTTTGGGCGATCTTCACATCCCCAAAGAAGTTGTGGAAATATTGTTCTCGGTCTTGAGCAAGGAAGCCCACAATGCTGGCTACCCTGTGGAAGACCGCCATCTCTAAATGGGCGAGTTTGGTCGGACGGCTGGTCAGGAGGATTGAACATCCCTTCAGAAGTGTTTCCTTGAGCAAGCTTGCCACAATGACATTGACTGGTTTCACATCTCCTGGAAGGACGCAGAATTCTGGAGATTGGTCATTGCAGAGATCTAAAACGCTCTTGCTCTCATCCAGACCATCAAAAATGAAGAGGAGTTTCTCGGGGTCCTGAAGAATTGCCCCAAGGTGGCTGTGTAATTGGGGATACTCCGTTTGGAGTAGGGCTTCCAGGCTGGTCTGCTTCAGAGAATTGAGGTCTCGGAATTTGAAGAAGAAAACAAAGGTGAATTTTTGGTAGTGTTTCCCTGTGGCCCAGTCATACACAAATTTTTGAACAAAGGTGGTCTTCCCCACTCCAGCTACTCCGCTCACCATCACGGAGTGGGGCGTACGGTGTGACCGACTGCACCAACGGAAAAGCCGGTCGGGGGTGATCCGTTCCAGGTCGGCCTGGACTTTGTGGCGTAGGCGATATTCATTCACTTCTCCAACAGCCGCTAAGGCTTCATGTTCACACATTTTCTTTCTCCTGAAGTGGGCATCTGAGACCACCTTTAGCTCCACGTAGTAGTTTTGGATGGGGAAACGTCGTCCCTCAAACTGAGCTCCTCTGGTACTTCTGCTCAGGGTTTCTGTCTGGGCATGGAGGCTCTCTTTGAGTTTTTCCTGAGAACCTGATCAGAGCAAAGCAAAAGAAAACGAGGTTTTAGGAGAGACATCCATGGGGCATTTTAAATTCTGGATGAAATAAAGTGGAGATGGGGGTTTAGCCTGTCAAAGAGATGGGGAACTTTTTTTGGTCTAGCACATGGGAATTCTACCGAAATCCACACCAAGCTGTTGCTAATTAACTCTGATCATTTCCATCCTGTTCACTTTGCCTGGGCAAAGGTGGGAAGAGATGGGGAATTGATTGGTCTGAAGTTCATTTTATACTGGATTCAGACAGGCTGAGAGTCAGCAGACCGGTTTGGAAACGGTCAGTATTCGAGGCAACCCAGGTGGACATTTTGGGTTTTAGCTTACTTCTGCTCCACGTAGCATAGCCCAGTGTTTCTCAAACTTGGCAACTTTAAGGCTCTGTGGACTTCAACTCCCAGAATTCCCCAGCCAGCATGCTGGCAGGAGAATTCTGGGCGTTGAAGTCCACAGATCTTAAAGCTGCCAAGGTTGAGAAACACTGACATAGGTGGCCACAGATTATGGGAGATGTTCAAAGCATCTGAAAGGAGCAGGTGGCCTATGTCATGGCCTATCCCTGTGACATGATCAGATAAATCTTAAATGCTGCATCTTTCAGGAAAACAGAAGGAGTTGGGTACATTACAGATGTACCTCCTCTTCCCATGGGAACCCTTTCATAAGCCATGAGGACCATAATGCAGAATGAGGAGCTGTTCTATGCAGAAAACTCTATGGTAACTTCTTTTATTTTCTGATTTTCACCACCTTCGGTGTTCAGCTGGAATTTGGAAGCGAATTATCTGTCTTTTGCCTTTAATCTTCCTCTAGTACCTTTTAGTTCTTGATCAAGAAGGTGTCCATCCCTGTTCAGAAGAACCTCCTCTAAAAGTTCTTGACCTTTGAAGGAGAAAAAAACAACAACAGTTGAGAATGAAACTCAGCAGAATTTCACCCATCCACTCCCTTTCTGGGATCCTGTATTTTGTTCTACTTTATTGAATTTTCAGGGATTAGCTCTCACCCTTCAGAGGTATTCAGAACAGTTCGCATAAGAATAATTATAGAGGAGTGTTGTCCAAACTTGGCCACTTTAAGATGAGCGGACTTCAACTCCCAGAATTCTTGGGTGGCTG